TACATATATCCTCACCAACAACTTAAGACTTTTTTTCTTTCTTTTTTTTTTTTTTTTTTTAATACTGGCCATCCTAACAGGTGTGAGGTAATACCTCTGTTGGGTTTTAATTTGCAACTCTTATGATTAGTGATGTTGAGCATCTTTTCATATATTTTTGGCCATTTATATGTATTCTTTGGAGAAATGTCTGTGCATGTTCTTTGCCCAATTTTTAATTGGGTTATTTTGGGTTTTTGCAGTTGAGTTGTAGGAGTTCCTTACCTATTTTGGTCCTTAACCTCTTATCAGATACATGGTTTGCAAAAAGAATCTTGCCAGCTTCATCTTTGTAGTCCCCATGGTAGCTTTGTATTTTTGCACTCTGCAGCATTGTTGGTGTTTTTGGGGTTTTTTTTGTTTGTTTTTTGTTTTTTCCAATACTTGACACTCAGGGTATGCTTCTTAAATGCAGTGCAGTTATCTGGTGTCCAAGTTAGCATCAAATTTAAAAGGCCCAAATGGGCCTTCTATAGATGTACTGACAGCAGTGAGAAGAGACAGCTGAAGTGGAAGAGAAGAAAAGGGGAGGCAAACAGGAATATAAAACTTTGCATATATATTTATGATCTCACTGACTGAAGCAGATAGGGTTGATAGGGAATCAACATGATTATAAGAAAACAAAGTTAGAAAATTCTAAAATAGGGGCGCCTGGGTGGTTCAGTGGGTTAAGCCTCTGCCTTTGGCTCAGGTCATGGTCCCAGGGTCCTGGGATCGAGCCCTACATCGGGCTCTCTGCTCAGCGGGGAGCCTGCTTCCTCCTCTCTCTCTCTCTCTCTCTCTGCCTGCCTCTCTGCCTACTTGTGATCTCTGTCTGCCAAATAAATAAATAAAATCTTAAAAAAAAAAGAGAGAGAATCTTAAAAAAAATAAATAAAAATAAAATTTAAATAGATGATATTCTAAAGAAATAGTTTAAATAACACCATTTAAACTACATATTTAAATATGTGCTTACTGACCTAATCTGAATAATTCATTACCCAAGAATTATGAACAGCTAGTTTTCTATAGTTAATAGCATGATATTATTATAAATATACTATTTTAGGTATTTGTTTAAAATTCCAAGGCAGTAGATGGTGCAGTATCTAATCATAACACTAGGTGGTGGTGTCCGATTTTAAGAAATTGAAGTGTGGAACTGTTTCTCAACATACATATTCTTTGACCTTAAAATCATTTAGTGCTTAAATCTCAGAAGAAAGAGGAAGGAATAATTAATAAAGCGATAGAGTACCATTTCTACTTACTAGGGTTACTCACCCCTACTCTCTTTTCTTCCTTTGAATGCTATAATCCAATTATTCACATGTTGTTTTGTCTCGTGCTGTTGACATTTGTATTTGTTTTGTTTTGGGTTTTGCATTTTTTGTGGGGCTTTTTTGTTTGGTTTTGTTTTTGTTTTTGCTCTTGTCACTTTTAAAATGATTGAAGATCTTGGGGGCACCTGGATAGCTCAGTCAGTTAAGCATCCAACTCTTGATCTTGGCACAGGTCAGGATTTCAGGGTCATGAGATCAGGCCCCACTGGGCATGGAGTCTCCTTAAGATTCTCTCTCTTTCTCTACCCTTACACCTCAGGCATGATGTCTCTCTCAAAAAGTTTTTTTAAAAAGTAAAATAAATGATTCAAAATCCCAAAGAGCTTTGGATTATATGAGTTATAAGCAAATAATGATCAGTATTTTTCTTCTTAGAAATTATGACTGAGGGGTGTCTGGGTGGCTCAGTGGGTTAAAGCCTCTGCCTTTGGCTCAGGTCATGATCCCAGGGTCCTGGGATTGAGCCCCACATCGAGCTCTCTGCTCAGCAGGGAGCCTGCTTCCCCTCTCTCCCTGTCTGCCTCTCTGCCTACTTGTGATCTCTGTCTGTCAAATAAATAAATAAATAAAACCCAATAAATAAATAAATAAATAATTTTTTAAGAGAATAAATAAATAAAAAACAAAAGAAATTACGACTGAGAAATTTAAAAAGGTGTGTTAACTCATTTGAAAATAATAATACACCCATTACATGTTAATAAAAACATAGTAAATATTTTTTCTTTTTTTTAATTTCTTTTTATTTTTTAAGATTTTATTTGAGACCGCGCACGCAAGCGGAGACAGTGGGAGAGGGAGAGGCAGACTCCCACTGAGCAGGGAGCCCAATGCAGGGCTCGATTCCAGAACCCTGGGATCATGACCTGAGCTGAAGGTAGACACTTAACAACTGAGCCACCCAGGCGCCCCTGAAAAGTAACTTTTCTAAAATGAGAAGAAAATTAGAAGAGTGACTCTGTAAGTCCCTTCAATGTCTAGGTTATTAGTGGAAATTCTCTTACATATTTATAGATTCAATCTTTTGAGGTGGAACAAACATATCATTGGACCTCTGGAAAACTTCACTCTACATTCGTGAAAGCTTAAGAGAAAAAAGCAATGTCTTTCTAGTGGAAATCATTTTGATTTCATGTAGTCTCTAAAAGGGTCTTGTGGACCCTTAAGAATCCTAAAACACAATTTGAGAACTATTATTATACCTCCCGAGTACCTGTAAGAAGCTAGTGAAAAAAATAGAAACTCTATGTATAATTACATACACATTCTATTAATTTTGGATTTGTAATCCAAAAGATTCAACAGCCAGTTCATAGCTTATACCATCTGAATGTTGTGTTTAAGATTACCTAGCATGACTAAGAATTGATGATATTACATTAATTAGAAAAACACAGTATCTTAATGGAAAAATGGACAAAACATGACCAGATGGTAAAAAGGAAACCAAGTTATAAATACGTTTTATTTATAGTGGGCATAATTTTTAACCAGAAAAAAATGCTTTTTAAAAATAAATCCCTAGATTACTATTATAGTTCCATTTAATATATGTTAGCTGAAAGCGATAGTCTATAAAACACTCGATTATCATTATAATTACATCTCTGTTGTGGAATAATCTACTCTTCATTTTCTGAGCTTTGTCTGTTCTTTATTACCCACATGCATGCCCTCAATTCTCCTCTCTATGCTGATGATTCCCAAAGCTCTGTATCCAACCTTGATCTCTCTTCTTTGTGATTCTCAGCCTTACTTCCAGTTGTGAATCCATCTCTCACTAGAAGTCCTGAAATTTTCTCCATCCCAGCTTGTCTAAAACCAAAGTCATGTTCTTTATTCCTACCACTTTGGGACTTCTTAATTTTTCCTTTTAGTTAATCACCATTTATCAGGGTCCCCAGACTAGAAACCTTTGAAGAAAGGTTTGACATATTCAAACATTAAATACATAGATTTTTTTTCATACTTTGTTGTTTCCTCCACCTTGATATTTCTTCATATTCTCTTCTCAGTGACCTGGAAAATTCTTACATATGCTTAAAGATTCAACTCAGATGTTGTTCCTTTTCTTTTTCTTTCTTTCTTTCTTTCTTTCTTTATTTATTTATTTTTTACTTTTTTAAAGATTTATTTAGGGATACCTGGGTGCCTCAGTGGGTTATGCATCTGTCTTCAGCTTAGGTCATGATCCCAGCATCCTGGGATCAAGCCCCACATCGGACTCTCTGCTAAGCAGGGAGCCTGCTTCTCCATCTCCCTCTGTGATCTCTCTCACTCTCGTTCTCTCTCAAGTAAGTAAATAAAATCTTTATTAACAAATTTATTTAGGGGCACCTGGGTGGCTCAGTGGGTTAAAGCCTCTGCCTTCAGCTTGGGTCATGATCCTGAGGTCGGATCAAGCCCCGTACCGGGCTCTCTGCCTAGCAGGGGGCCTGCTTCCTCCTCTGTCTGCTTCTCTGCCTACTTGTGATCTCTGTCAAATAAATAAAATCTTTTAAAAAATAGATTTATTTATTCATTTGACAGAGCTGGAGGGGACAGAGGGAGAGAGAATCCTCAAGCAGACTCCCCCATGAGCAGAGAGCCCCATGTGGAGCTCAACCCACAACCCATGAGATCATGACCTGAGCCAGAATTAAGAGTTGGATGCTCAACCAACTGAGCCACTTATGTGCCCCTCATATGTTGTCACTTCTGTATATCTTCCCTAATACACTAAGCAGATGTTCTTTTATCATAAGATAAAGTGTGTATGGGGAACCTGGGTGGCTCAGTTGGTTGGGGGGTTGGACTCTTGGTTTTGGTTCAGGTTGTGATCTCAGGGTCATGGGATGCCCAGGCACTCCCACCCCGATCCTGCATCGGACTCTGTGCTCAGTATGGAGCTTGCTTGAGATCCTCTCTCTGCCCCAACCCCTCATGGGTCTGCTCACTCTTGCTCGCTCTCAAATAAATAATGAAATCTTTTTTTAAAAAAGTACAGTGTGTGTGTGTGTGTGTGTGTGTGTGTAAGCATGTGTAAACAGAGAAAAGACACACATCTTTTCTTCTGTCTTTCTTGATAAACTTAGCATTTGTAAGGCAGACACCTTGTTCCATTTGTCTTTATTTCCCGAGTCTTAAGCACGCTATTTATAGGAGAAATGAATGGTATCAAATACCCCTGTTTTAAATATTGTGCAAGTAAGTTCATTGCTATCCAGTGATAAATTTTACAAATTAAGATGAGCATGTTCATTTGTTTAAGTCAAAGTCAATTCAAGTTAGCTTTTCTGCATGGATATTATTATCTCTTTCTTCTTCATTTTTGCCAGGAATTCCTTGGGTTTCAGAGGGGATGATGTCTTCATTTTAAAAGTTAAAGTTGAATATAAGGTTTTCTAAGTACATTTAATGTATATCTGAAGCATCACATCACCCACCACAAACGTGATCTAATGGTATTTTATATTAAGTAGTAATATAATGATAATTTGATGCAACCACTCAACAATAAATATGTGTGAGGTTTTAAAGTATACTTTTGGGGAAAAGTAAAAATTTTGGTGCAAAATATATATATGTATACATCTATATATAAGTAGTTTTCAGATTTATGTCTGTTAATGCAGTACAAACTTCTCTTTTTAGAACTTCTTGGTATACATGAACAAGCAGCTGTAGGATTCTTAACATTAATGGAAGCTTTAAGATACTGTAAGGTAAGTTGATTTTAATGGTACGTTTCAATCCTTTTTACTCACATGTCCACTGTTGTGGACAGTATTTTCTTCTATGACAACATATAGCTTACTGCTGTTACTATGTACTTCTTAATTCTTTCCTGATCTCCTTTCTCAAACTGACAGGCATATTAAGGGCAGAGTTAAGTTGGCTGATCATGCTGAGTTTCCTATTCATGAGGTTTGTTCCTTTTTAAGGGTAGAGGGCAGAACCCGATAAAAAACAGTTTATAAAAATAGAGACACCTATAATTGAAAGTAAATATATTTTTTTGTAAACCAAGAGAAGAGAATGTATTGTTTCTTCCTCATAACAGTATGCTTCATGGAAAAAAATATTGCTAGATGCCTGAAGTTTTAACTTTTGTTTGTTCCATCTGAAAAACGATTTCACACTCAAAAACAAATTCCAAGCATTTCATAGCATTAAATTCTTTAGCACATGGGCTAAGGTTAGAAACTGCCATGAACCTCTCATTTATTGATAAAAATTTCATTGTTTTCCTGCATCATCTGAAATAACTATTGGATGTTCCAAATAGTTTTAAATGGGATTCAAATCATTAGTGATTTATACTTAATGAGATGGCCTGATTTTGGAGAAAGGAAGTAGTAGATCCAATTTTCTTTTCCATTTTAGAATGTTGGGTCTGTAGCAGTAGTTCTGGTGATGGTGATTTAATAAAATAACAGTGTCTTGCCCTCTTTCTTTTCTTTTTTCCTTTAACTGGAAGTGTTCCTCTTTCATGACAACACTTGGAAAGGAGTGATATGGGTATGATAATCAGATAGGTTTCATCCTGTCCTTATCCATTAGTAGGGATCGTATTGTATCAAAGTAGTAACTCTTTTATTTTCTGTGTCTTTAATTTATAAGCTAACGCTGTTCTGAAGGAGCCTGGCAGCCAGAGCATCAGGCTGCATCCCATTCTCCCAAGAAACACACACAAAAGTCATTGATCCTAAAAGTGTGTGTGCATGCATGTGTGCATGTGTGCACACATACAAATGACAACTACATAGAGGTGATGAATATGTTAATGATATGTTAATTACAATAACATTAATATGTTAATGATGAATATGTTAATGATTTTGGTGATCTTTTCACAGTGTATACATCTACAAAAACATGAAGTTGCACGCTTTTAATATATACAGTGTTCATATGTGAAAGATATTTTAATAAGGCTGTTTTTTATAAAGCGTGTGTGTGTTTTGCAGGAGGATCGGGTGTGGAGATGAGACTGTGAAATCTTCACTGTGTAGCCTGTAATTCCCTGATCTAGATCCTGTCTATCCCTCTTCAATTGCTTTGCCCTGTCCACTGCTGTGCTCTAGCTCTGCTGGTTTCCTGCCAGATTCTCAAACATACCCAGGCTCTTTCCTGCCTGATAAGACTTCATACTTGCTGTCATTTCTGCCTGGAATACTCCAGTTTGTAAATGGATGGCTCCCTCTCCCCATCAGGTCCTACTTAAAGTGGTACCTCAAAGACCTTTTCCTCAGCCATTCCTTCAGTGACTCTTTTTCACAATTTCATAGCAATAATCACTCTATAAAGATCTTTTCTGTTTAATTTTTTATTAATCTTGAATTTGCTTTTTTATTGTTATCCCCAGTGGATTATAGACTCTCTGAAGCCAGTGAACATTGTTTTTCTGGGTACATATTCAGTGTTCAGTAAACATTTGGTTGAATGAATGGCCAATTTAACCAGAATTGTAAGCTTTTCTAAATCATGCTTTTGCTTTTCTTTAGCTGTTAGGAAGAACAGGGGAATGAATGCCTGTTTTCCTCCTAAGGTCTTAGTGGGAAAACAGTACTGGCTGTATATTCTCCTATTACATATTGCTTTAGTGTTCTAGCAGTAACTGGTATTTTTAAGATTTAAAGATTGTTTTAACGGCAGGACAAAATACAGTGGTACTCGGATAGATGAAAGGCAGAACTGTCTATTACTTACACCTCCAAACAAGGGAAGGCTACCAGACAGGGCCACAGCGGGGATTATACTGGTGGACAGTGCAACAGTGAGGTGCGACCATAGGTGGCAGCTTTGGTATGGGTGTTGGGATGGAGTTAGCTAGGTTTCATGGCCTCTGCTTGGATTGGAAAATTTCAGTGAGCTCTAAGACTTAGGGCTGTTTCTTCTTGTCTGACACCTAGCTGCAGGGAGCTTAGAGCCATACACAGTGACCCAGAGTGTGGGAGACCTGGAAGGGAAGTGGTTGGGATGGTGTGATTATAGCTTTTGGAAAAACTATTGGTTACCCTGGTGTGTTCATCTGTACATAACTATAGATGTCCCTCTGAAAACCTGTATACATTTACTTTTCACCAAACATTTAGAGAAAAGTATTAAGGAAATCATTGTGTTTGTATTAGTTTTGTGAATCTGAACATTTCCCTGTTAATATCGTAGCAACTTGCTCTCTAAAAATTAACATTTTCATATCATTTTGACTCTCTGTGTTCATTAACACAAATGAAAGTCTCTTTACACACACAGTGAAGAGGATGACGCTGAATGCTTTTGATGGTGCCCCCCCTCTTTTTAAAGATTTTATTTCAGAGATGCAGAAGAAAGCACATGAGTTGGGGGGAGGGGCAAAGGTAGAGGGAGAAGCAGACTCCCCACTGAGCGGGGAGCCCATTGCCAGGCTTAGTCCCAGGACTGGGGATAATGACCTGAGCTGAAGTTAGACACTTAACTGACTGAGCCACCCACCTTTTTTTTTTTTTTTTTTTAATAGCTAACTCACATAAAACTCACCATTTTAAAGTGTGCTGTTCAGTGATTTTTCACAAGGTTGTACAACCATCACCACTTACCTAATTTCAGAATGTTTTTCTTAACTCTCACAAGATACTCTAAACCCATAAGTGGTCACTTCCTCACTCCTCCCCAGCTTCTGGCAGCTTTATTTCTCAAATTTGCCCGTTCTGGACATTTCATCTAAATGGAATTGTACAATGTGTAGCCTTTTGTGTCTGGCTTCTTTAACTTAGCATAACGTCTTCAGTGTTCATTCTTGTTTGAACTTATATTAATACTTTGTTCTGTTTATGACCAAATATTCTGTTGTATTATATGCCGGTTTTGTTTATCTGTTCATCACCTGAGGGATATTTGGATTGTTTCTGCTTTTGTGCTACTAGAATAACACTGCTAGAAACATGCATGTGTATAAATTTTTTGTGAACATGTTTTCATTCCTGTTGGACATATACCCAGCAGTGAAATTGCTTGTCATATAGTGATTATGTGCTTAATTTGCTGAGGAGCTGTCAGCCTGTTTTTCCAAAGTGGCTGCATTATTTATGCACTCTTACTTATTTATATTAGTGTAAGACACTTAGTGAGTTCATTCATTTATCTTTTGATCCTTCTATGTATTATACTCATATTTTACTTCTACCTTAATCAAATACACACAAACACACACTCATTTTCTAAAAGGAAAATTAAATAATCACTAAATTTTTCACCACAAGAGGCAGCTACCACATGAGGAGTCAGAAAGCCTGAGTTTTAATCCCAACTCTGTACTAGTTACCTGTTTGAAATCAGACAAGGCACTGATCCTTTATATTTCTGTTTCTGATGTAAAATTGAAGGACTTGTGCTGAGCACCTCTAAAATCCCTTCTACTATGAACCTGTGATCAGACCTTTTCCTTTGTCTTTGTCCTTTGCTCTTATTTTCTGTTGTCCCCAAACCATCATCCTTCCTGCTCTCCTGGTTCACCATTGCCATTAGCACATCCCGTTAATCCTTCCCATCAGAGGACAAAGATACTGGTGTTTTTGTCCATGAATACAAGAGAGTGCCTATTTCCCACTTCCTAATGATAATTTAAATTCCAAAGGGCCGTCATGGTGTTTGAAAGCAGGGCATCCTATCAGGGCTAATGACGAATAAGGGAAGAATTGCCCTGACTGCTGCAAGTAGCCACTAGGCATTTCCCCATTCCAGGGAGTCTGTGTGAGAAAAGAAAATAGAGCAAGTGGGATTGGTAAGGTTGTTTTTAAGTTGTAATCTCTGTCCTCATAAGAGTATAGAATTGATTGATATGAACATGATGGGATTTCCCAAGTCTACTTGTTTCGTTGTTGATTTTAAACTTTCTCAGTCACACACACACACAAAAACTTTGGATACTGTGTTTTTTATAGATTAAATATATAAACTTGAGACAGACTATAAGTATAACTTTTTGTACAATTTAAGGAGACTTCATACTGTAGAACTCTGAATTACCTCCAATCATGAAGAGTCAAGTAACAGGATTCTTTTATGTTCTTAGATATTTTATAGTATATATTTTGCTTTAGAGAGATTATTATATTGTCCCAGGTTCTTTGAAGACATGATGTGCTTAAGGATTTTTCTCTTTCCTTATTTATTAGTAAATATATTCATTTGTTAATTTATAATGGTTTTTCTGATAAAGTAATTATTATCAAGGTTATAGTTTCAGGATTTGATCACCAAGCTAAAAATCTAGAACATTTTGTCTAGCAATTTTAATCAAACCTGAGAATGATTCTTAGGGCTAAACTAAGTTTTTCCAGCTGTGTTAAATCTGTATTATTGTTACTCTGATGTAAAGGTGCAATATAAACTTAGCCCTGACCATCTTTATAACATTGATTTTTACATTCGGCATTTGACCTTTATGGGTAAGGCATTCTGGCACAAAACATTATTCCATTTAAGTATCAATTGGACACTTCAGTTATGCTTCTAATACTCGTGGGCAGATACTCAGCAGGCAGTATAAAATTTTCATTTGTTTGTTTATCTTGCTACATTTGTTCTAGGTTGGTTCTTACTTGAAATCTCCAAAATTCCCTATTTGGATTGTTGGCAGTGAAACTCACCTCACCGTATTTTTTGCCAAGGTATGCTTATAGCAGGATTTTTTTTTTTTTTTTTTTTAAGTATGATATCAGGCAACAAGTAGTCTAAGTCCATATTTAGTTTGGGTCTTCGTGCAAAATTCAGTGTATTCCTACTAACAAGTGGATTGTTCCAAAACCTAAAAAATTAATAGTAAAGAAAATATTATTACACTGCTCTAGTTTTACAGTTATTTTAGTAAACTCTGTCATGATTTAGTTATAATTTCTTTATCTTTTGTGACTTCAGAGCTTTGGCTTTTGATATTTTTCAGAAATCACTGTTAAATAACTAAATTTAAAAGTTTTGGATTGCTCTTTTGTAGAAAAGATAAGAATCTCATATAATATAAAATAATTTTAGTTAAAACATCTAGGAAAATATTTTTAAATCTATTAGTAGTTCAGTGGTATAGAAGTGATCTTTTAAGAGGTAATGTTTCCTATAATTTTGATATATAAGGTTATAATATTGACATAGATTAATGCATTTGAATATGTTTATTTTAAAATTCTTAAAACAAACCTGTTTCTAAATTTCCTCCTTTAACAATAGTACTTCTTTCTCCACATAGCGTGGTTAGAGCTTTGGAGTCACACAAACTTCATTTGAATCCTAGCCTTACCACTTCTGATCATTCAGCCTCTTTCCCAGGTCTTTAAAATAAGGATTTCTGATAATACCTTGCTCTTAGATTTTTTATCAGGTTTAAATATATAATGTTTAGCAGTACCTAGTCCAAGTTAAGTGCCCAAGGAATCTTGGCTGTTGCCATCAGCCTCCTCACTGCCATCATTATTCTGCATTTAGTAAACATGGAGTTGCTGATGTTGGAGTAAAGGAAAATATAGGATTGTTTATTTTGAGGTTCTTTATGTCTAGAGGACTTTCCTGATTACCCCATACACTTTTTTAGATTGTACCTGTTAGTGTAATTTTCCTTGTGTCTGAAAAATTATGACTCGTATAAACTGTGCCAAGGAGTGAACTGCTAGTGCGAAGTTGTGTGGGTCTGTTTTCTCACTTATCACTGGATTACTTGTAATGTGCTGCCAAAATCTAGTGATTGGATTTAGAGTGAGTACTTCCCTTAAACAGAAAAAGCTATAAAATAGAACTAAAAAAGTACAGACTTTGACGGAACTACAGTAGTAAAAAGTACTGATAAGTTGCATTTAGTCTGAAAGCTTTTGCTGTTTATTTCCCTCCTAAAGTAGAAAAGAAGTTAAAAACATAATGTAAACTATAAAAACTGGACAACTTTGAATTCCAGAGGGAGGATTTCATCATTTGACTAATTTTTGTGTCAAGTGTTCTAAATTTCCAGAAAAGAAAATCAGTTCCAATTTACATGCAAAAATGTAGTTTCAAGCCAATTATTATTTTTATTTCCAGCTCCATATTTAAGCACAGGAAAACTAATGAATTCTATGAAACACTATAAGGTTCAAATACAAAAGACAGTGAGATGAAAATACTTTAAATCTTAAATTTTATGATTGACATTTAAGAAATGATTTTGTTATCAAGTAGCAGAAGAGACTTTACAGAAGCTTAATAGAAGGAACGGTGTCGGCTTAGCTTTGTAAATACAGACATTTTGTATTTTAGCATCTAAATATCAGGTCTGTTGATAGATACCTTCTTTTCTATGAAACATACACTTCCTACCCACGTGCGTGGTTTTCTTTATATTTTCCATAGCATTTGATCTGTTGTGCGGTTGAATTTATCACACAGTGCATTGTTCCTATGTCCTGTACCTTTTGTGTGTATTTCCTGTGACCAGCAGTGAGCCTTGTTTAGGACAGGGACCCTCTCATTCATCTTAATCACAGATCTCAACCACGTGCAACAAAATGTTGAGTGAGAGACATGAAGTGCGTAGAGAGAAACAAAAAACCCTACCACACCAGTTTCAGGCCTGAAAGAGCAAGCTCCGTGTATGCCCCCTCAGTCAGATGAGGTTTTCAAATAAATCTCCATTCATTTGCATCCCCGGAGCTACTGATAACCCAGACAGGAAAATGCACACACACAGAAAGTGATTAGAAAGAATTTTATGGTAAGATTTTAGGTTCTTCAACTATTATAAGTCCTAAAACTCACATTTATCAAGTACCTTATTTCTCTTTTAGAAGTCCTGAACTTTAAAATGATTGTTTTGGTACTTACCTTTGTATCTGTGGGTCTGATACATAGTCTGGCACATAATATAGGGGATTCATTAGTTCAGTGAATAAAGTCTACGCCTAAATTTTCCACACTTGGGTTCCAGTGATAATTATATCTTCTTAAAAATAGTTTTTCATGACTCATTCTGAAGCTTCTTAGAAGCATGGATACTTCCTCTTCAGTGAATTTTAAAACAACTGAATTTAGATTGTTTGAACATGGTTCTTTCAAAAGAGTTATAGGAAATTTTCCCTTTGAGATAAAAGGTCGAAGATCACATAAGTAGTAAATGAGATCGGTGATGCTTCATAATATTTATTAGGTCCAGTTTAAAAAAATTTTTTTAAAGATTTTATTTATTTATTTGACAGAGTTCACAAGTAGGCAGAGGGGCAGGCGGAGAGAGAGGGGAAAGCAGGCTCCCCACTGAGCAGAGCCTGATGCGGGGCTCCATCCCAGGACCCTGGGATCAAAGGCAGAGGCTTAACCCACTGAGCCACCCAGGCGCCCCCAGTTTAAAATTTTTTCTAAATAAAGTATTTATGTAGTCTTCATCATGTAGAAAATACTGTAAATTTTATTGTTCTGTACATTATAAGACCTGTTATTTGATCTTTCTTTGATATTTCTATATTTGATCAAGTAATTTTGGTTTTGTTTTTGTTACTCAAAAAATAATCTGGAGGTTTGTTTTTCTTATTTATTTTTGGTTTTGGTTTATTTATTTTGGGGAGGTTCACTGACTTTATGTTTCATGGCCTGAAACAAAGAGCAGCATAATGTAAATCCCGAGGTCTTTTTCTGTAAAACTGATACATTTGTATGGATATGTATTTCATTTGCTGACCTATTTGTGCTGATTATGATTAAGGATAAAGCATATTTAAAGGTCACAATTTTCAAAGTAAACTATAATTTAACATTTTAAAATGCTTTTGAAAAGCTGTGTAATTCTTCATGTGACATTGCACCTGTCATCATTCACATGTATATTCATTTGTCAAATATTTACTAGACATATACTATGTGCCTGGCATTATGCCAGGTGCTGTGAAGACTGTGGTGAGCAAAAATAGATGGGCTCCTGTTTTTATGGAGGTATATATTCTAATGGGGGAGGCATTCATCAAGGAATCATTTATAAAACTATAAAATTATAACTGATGAGGGCTGACAAAGCACAGGTCTATAAAGCTCTAAGAATGTACCTTAGTTTTGGAAGACTAGGAATGTTTCCTAAGGAGAACTGATGTCTACAGTGAACATCGAGGCATTAGTAAGGTGAAACAATGGGAAGAGGGGGAAAAAGCCTTCCCTAGACCAGAAATAGGAGCTCAGCGCTATGGTGGGAACAAACTGGAAGGGAAGAGTAGGAGCACGGAGGATTCAAGGGGCAAGGTATAAGATGAGGGTACAGAAGCAGTAGCAGGTCTTTGACTAGAAAGACTGTTCTGGGGAGATAGGAAGGAAAGAAACAGGATTAAATTTGCATTTTGGAGGACTATGGCTAATTGTGGGAAATAGACCTACTGGAGGATAACCTAGGGAGTGGGTAAAGAAGACTCGTAGTATTCTGGGTAAGCAGGGGATATGGTTTGGCCAGGGTGATGATGGTAGACATTGATGGGAGTACATAAATTTGAGAGATTTATTCCCGAGGTAGACTGATAGGACTTGGTGACAGATTGAATGGGATAGATGAAAGGTAGAGAAAGTTAATGAGATGAGTGCTTTTAATGATTAATCTTAGAGTCTCAGAAAGAGCTCAGCAGCTTTGCTCTTGTTGAATTCACCGAATTATGATTATAGCAATTAATGCTTCATTTGGCCAGTTGGCCCAGTCAAGAGTAAAGACTGAGACACTATAGTTCCAGGTCTTTCAAGAAAATAGGCCAGCCACATAATGCCACAGTGCGGTTTACAAGTCCCAGCCACACGGGCAATGCCTAGAATGCTTACATGAGAAATGAATCAAAGGAATAGGGGAAAGGAACTCAATAAAATAAATTTTAAAAAAAGAAAGAATGGAGATAGTATAGGACAGTATAGGGATCAAAAGAAAACTTCAAAAAACCAAACACTTTAAGAGAAGTTATTATATCCATGAAACTTTGGAGGCTATGAGGAAAGGACATTTGACAGACAAACTAGAAACTGAAATCTTACTGAAAAAATTGAAAGACAAATTGGAGAAAGCTCTCCCCTACATCGTTGGCTGTAGCTTCCCAACCGAGGACTATGCTGTTGCCCTTCAAGGAGCTGTAGTATCTATTAAAATGTAAGTCACTTCCTGTTACTCTTAATCTCTGAACCCTACATTGGTTCCCCTTCATTAAACATAAAAGCCAAAGTCCTTAGAATAACTTAGTAGGCTTTGCCTCACCTCATCTGATTATTTCCCCATTGCCTTTCTAATCACATTTCCTACTACTCCCCCTTCCTGTCTTGCTTAGCCATGCTGATCTTTCCTCCAGTTCAGAACGAGGCAAGCCCTTTGCACGTGCTCTTCCCTTTGCTTAAAATGATCCTGCCTCAGATGTCTGTAGAAAGGGTTCTTTTCTTCCTTCAGGTTGGTATTCAAAGGTCACCTCGCCTTCCCTGGCTACCTTTTCTAAAATGTCAACCCCTTATCCCCCTGCCTTTTCATTAACATTCTCACAAATATAGATATGTTTTAATTGAGGTGAAATTCACATAACAAAATTAACCATTTTCAGGTGAGGAATTTAGTACATCTTAGAGAATGGTGGTTGCAAAACATACATAGAAGCCATCCTATGTAAGTGGGAGTTTTATGCTTAGGTTACCTGCTAGTTCTCCTTGGTAT